GTTAATTTAGTTTTTTAATGTTTACTTGATCATTCTGCAACGGTTCAACATATCTTATTGAAATTTGGCACAGATATAAAACAAAGTCTAGAGTACACATGGGATAAGCTTCATCCCTGAGAAAAGTGCGGTTCCCGAGGGATAAGTAGCTTTTTGTAATTTATCCAGTTCGTATGTTTTCTAATACCACACGTTCGAAGTTGCGGGCAACAGCTCGTACAGAATAATTTTTTACATATGACGTATTCGTTGACAGTTATTGTACAAATATACCACTTTCCTAATGCGTTCATACATCGAGATAGCTGCGTAATGCGTAACCCAAATTACTTTGTTAGTAAATCTATCTATATGTGGAATCATAGGAAAGTTCGATGGACGAACTAAAATTAACTAACATCACAGATACAATACTATTTAAAATATACTATTTAATACTAGTAATATTAAAGTAATATTATGGATGAGTACAGAAAATTGTAGATTATTATCATAATAAAGATTTCTTGTCAATTCGTTTAATTATTCAATATTAACTATAACGTTACAATTTTGTGTTTACACCTTTTTGACCGATTTCCCAAAAGAAGGAGGTAATCAATTCATCTGTAAGTTTTTTTAGAGCAACATCTTACTAAAGTAATTAAAAAATATCGGTATGAAATGTGTAGCCGTAAGGGCAAGAAGAATAGTGAAATCGCCGTCTCCCTTGAGTCAAGGAACGGTAAAGACATAGGTTTAGACATAGGTCAGGATATCGGACTGACTTGACGCAGACATTAGTGTAGACGTGATTAGGCGACTGCCAAGGGTATAAAAGTAGGAGGTATAAAAATTGAGCCCTAGTAACGCTAAACCGGTAACCGGTTCTCAAAACCCTCGTTTAAAATTCAATTCCCGTGACGTAACAGTATAAACTATACTTGAATCTATTACTAATATAAGTAAAGGAAATATAAATTGAACAGTTCTGCGTCCACATTAGCACATAGAACTGGAACACAATTTGCGCTGATTTTAAGCGGGTCGGGTTGAAAGATCGCCTGACCTAAGATACTGCTAGGAAAACATAACACACTAAAGTAAACTCACTGAATACGTTTTTGTGTATAGAAATATAATAAACAATCACTCCCACCTAGAGAAGACAGATTATATCATATATTTTTATAACGTAGTCAATATTTAGAGCGGACGCACATTTTTGACACTGTTCTGCGATTTATTTCGCAGTCAATTCAACTGTTTAGTTGCACAACTAAAAGTCGAGTAGTGTACCCTCTATAAACGCATAGGAATAAAAGCAAAGACAAAACAGTCGTTTTGTAAAATAATTTTAATCTTTTTCATGAGAATAACCTATAAATTTTTTTCGACTGCAATTTTATTGTTTAGATCGGTTCTATTGCAGATGGAAATTATATATTTGTAATGTTTATTCCATCGTTACGATCATATAAAAACTTAGTAAATATATATTTTGTGACAAAAAGAACTTTATTGTATTTCTACAAGTTTGACGCCAGCAGATAATCTAGACCTAGGTTTCAATATCCTTACTACATTGTTTTATTGATTATCTCAAGAGTAGCTAGACCGATGCCCGTTCTACAAAGTCAGGGTGAAGGGCCGTATTTCTTATCAGCTTAATGCAAAAATATCTAGGTTATAAAATCTCTCACGGGACTTTTCCAATCGATAAAGTTCCATAAATTTCTTAAGCTATGTAAAACCTTACAAATAAACGCAGTATAAATTCAAACTTAGGAATAAACTGAGTATAAGCCAAATTTGTAGTAATATTTGCTTATACTAAGTTTATTCCTAAGTTTAAATTTATACCACGTTTATTTGTAAGGCTTGTAAAGATTTACTGCATAACTCGCAGTCATTTGTTCATTAGCAGACTGCTCATACTAAATTTTATCTATGAGTAACAGTAAGTGAGCAATCAGCGACTATGAGTATGTCGCGAGAAAACATCATAGGTAAATTTCGTTGGATTATCAAATACTTTGTTTATTCATGTTTTATTTTATGTCATTAATTTTTACGAGGACACACGTTTTATACAAAGGTAATTTAAATGCCGCAATAATAATAATATTTGAAAACTTTTTGTGGCCACAATTTGGATGTTTCAAAAAAATAAAACAGGTGGTCGAAAAGAGCAATAGACGTTGACGCGTGCGAGCCCTTTTTGTTTTTTTAATAGTCAAAGGAACCGCGGACGTTCGTTTTAAGAAAACAATAAATATGCCCGTAACTCGCTTTAAGGTAACGGGACAGATACAAAAGATTATGGAATTAATCTCGTAAATATTTATTCATGAAGGTATTTCTAGAAAAATATTGTTTTCTTGTGTATAATTAAGTTGTATCCTTATTCAAAAATAACTCTTTATTTATGGTCCTATAATAAAGTTGTAACAATAGAATATTAAATAGTGTTGTTCGCATAATAACTTATTGTTATTTTTTTTATTGAATAATTATCATAAACCAATAAATCAGTGTTATTTTTGATATTTCCCAATTTAACATAACTAAACAAATAAACTTGGTGTCTTTTTAAAACCATAACATTAAAAACTAAAATCAACGTTAAATAAATCTAAGAATAGTAGTTAATAAATATAAACCCATAATAATAAATAATTCAACAGAAGTTAAGTTCCAATATAACATTAATAAGTAAACTTTTAAGTTATTTCTTTATAACTTTATTTATCCTAAGACAAAGCCCCAATAATCCATAAAAAATAATCTAAATCTAGATTGTAATAAAAAAATAAACTTACATTTAATTCAATCACAAAACACGTAAACACAAAAACTTTAAGTTCACTCATATAAATAAGTAACCAACAACACTCCCTACTTAGTCAAGAATTGTTCCCTCACTGAATGATTTGAATGGTTCGTGGTCGTTACTCGTTTCGTAGCGTCGAATACATCGCCCCTGCTACTTCGAAAGAGGAATGTGGGATCCATATTTAGCAATTAACTCGGACAAATGAAAAATACTGCATTGCATCTAACAAATTAAAAAAGTATATTGTATAAGAACTAATACTAAAAATTATAATTAAGAAATTAATGACGTCATGAAACAGTTCGTTGTTACCTATCATTGCTCTTCTCTTCTATTATAACTAAACGTTAAAATTCGGTATTTATTTTTAAGAGATAATTGTCATTCATTAATCATTCACCTAATTTGTTCTATTGGCTTTTATTGATTATTTAATCATCTGTCCTGTTAACGGTTTTAATATGGTGTTCCTACTTGGATAAGGCAAATTAAATTTGTATATTCTTACATGTTACTTACAGTGCTCCCTTTTTAATTATATAGGATGCTGTTTCTGCTTCATAGTTAAGTGGAAAATAAATAAATCAAGCGTAAATCAGTACAGTATTTTATTTTAGGCTAAATAGTGACAGACATGACTCATCGAATCTAGGACCCGACTAAGGTTATTAAATCTCAAAGATAATATAAAAGTGGCAAGGTATTTAAATTCTTTTACGTTTACTTTTTATCTAGAAAACAATTAGTAGACAGCTATAAGTTAGCACTTACGAGACCTTATTTTTGTCACTAGAAACCTGAGTTTGGCTTTAGAATTAAGATAACCTTTTTAAATGAATAGCGACAAACCGAAGGTGCAAGGGCAAATGTATCGCTACTATTAACTACGGCAGCTGTACGATGTATTGTCAAAATAATACAAAAGCACCCAAACTTATTCGTTGTAAAACAGTCCTCAACGTCAAAAGAATACGGGTTATGTTAAACGCAGAATGTAAATTGGTAGACTTAAATGATTCTATTATTATTAGTCGGATGTGTCGATTTTTAATGGGGTTCCTTTGATATAAATATTTTGTCACATCACTATGCGTTTTATATCATTGTTAATTCTTTAAGTTTGGTTTGTTATAGCATCAACTTATTTTCGCGCCATTTCTGTTT